AAAAAGCGAGGTCCCACGTACACACATTGGCGTGCACATAAAAGATCCCTTGGCAGATGGAAATCGTTATAAGAGTAGGCCATAGTGCCACTGTCTGGGCAAAAACTAAGTCAAACTAAGTCATTTCGGGACTAACACATGGTTCAATTTTATTTCAATAATTTTCTTGCATGTAAGGGTGTTTAACAGTTGGAGGAAAACAGAGGACCCGGAGAAAACCCCTAAGAAAATCTAGAAGAGTAGGACATTAAACCCCATTTCATTTCATTTCATTTCATCCATGTTTGTTTTCTAGAATGAAAGAGAATGACTTTGTTAAATTGGTTTCTTCTACATACAGAAGGTTACTGAGTACATACAGCCCATCCTGTAGCTCTGTACACAATACATTTACAGTCATATTAAAATGAATAATATATTGCGAACCGCTAAAGAAAGGTGAAATACAAAAGAAATGAATTGAAATGGGGTTTAACATTTAACATGCTGAACCTACTGGATTTTCTCGTCGCTAGCTCGCTAGCCTGGAGGTCGGGTGTTCGATCCCTGCATTGGCCGAGAAAGTTCATCCAGATTTTCCGGCGTGGTTCTCCCTTGTCAGTGATGCAGGACGGAGGGGCTGACAAGGAAAGCTGTCTAGTCGTTCGGATGGGACGAAAAACCGAGGTCCCGTGTACACATTGGCGTGCACGTAAAAGATCCCTTGGCAGTTGGAATTCGATATAAGAGTAGGCCGTAGTGCCGCTGTCCGGGCAAAATTTCCCTCATAGCACACTGTATGGCGTATGCCCGTCTTCATTAGCCCAGGTTAGGAGCAGAACAGTAGGACATTAAACCCCATTTCATTTCATTTCATTTCATTTCATTTTTGGATTTTCTCGTGGCTTTTCTCCGGGTCCTCTGTTTTCCGCCCACTGCTAATGACCCCAACACACAAGCCAATTATTGAAATAAAATTTGTTAGTCCCAAATTGACTAGTTTGTGCCGAGTGGACGTTAATCCCCATTTCTCTGTGTTATGTGGTTCTTCTCCGTGTAGGGGTCTTAGCGGTGGGAGGTAACCGGACGACCCGGAGAAAATCCACGAAGTTGGACAGGTGTGTGGTGTAGGCAAAATTAACCTCATAGCACACTGTATGGCGTGCGCCCAACTCCATCAGCCCAGTCGTAGCAGAACAGTAGAGAACAGTAGGACGATAATGCCCATTTCATTTCAGATAGAGAGAGGGATGGGGTTTAACCTCCACTCACAGAAACTAGGTCATTTCGGGACTAACATATGGTTCTATTTTTGTTCACTCATTCGCTTGTGCGTTGGGGTTTTTAGCAGTGGGAGGAAACTAGAGAACCCAGAGAAAACCTAGAGGTTGGACCGGTGTGTGGTGAGAGAGAGAGAGAGATGGGGTATAACCTCCACTCACAGAAACTAGGTCATTTTGGGACTAACATATGGTTCAATTTTATTTCAATCAATCACTTGCGCATAGGGGTCTTTAGCATCGGGAAGAAACCAGAGGACCCAGAGAAAACCTACGAGGTTGAACCAGTGTGTGGTGTAGTTATCCTGCACTAGTATTATAGTTTATAGAGTACAGTATTAGTATTCAAGGGCTCGGCAATTAGACACAAGTCTCAAGTGAGATTCTATCATGCAATGACAGCCGTGGTATTTGTATATTTCTTTAGCTGTTTATTACATATATATACATTGCATTTATTTTTCTAGTCATCATGTACACTTAAAAACAAAGGGAGGAATGTTATGATGTTCCTCAAGCCTCGTTGTTTATACTCATGTATATAAATATAAATAGTCTTAGGTACGTATTGCAAGAAATGATTCAGTTTTTGCAATTCATGTGCTAAGCATCCTGGTAGCACACCTTCCATTGTTAGAACCGGTGCCAATTAACTCCCAAGATACCAAACTAAATCTATTTTTTAGGCCAGTTCAATTTTCGTCAAGGTTAGGGGATGTAAATGAGTTTAGGGCACGGGATTGTTGGTGAGATTGTAGGTTAGGGTTACGGTAAGCATTGGGGCTAGGTCCAAGGTTAGGGTTAGGGTTGGCATTAGCACTAGCCCTGGTTACATCACGTGATATTTGACCAAACTTGAAATTGACCTTATCAAATAGTTCTAACCCAGGATACTCAGGGTTCACTATGGAATAATTGTATGTTTTATTTGTTTGTAAATCTTTTGGAATAAGAACATTGTGTCTTTAGGAGGACTTTCTGAAAGAGAGAGAGAAATGGGGGATTTAACGTCCATGAGACACACACTAGGTCATTTCGGGATTAACATATGGCCCGGAGAAAACCCACAAGGTAGGACAGGCAACCCAACCCCTTGTCACCTACAACCAGGGAATTGATTCAGTGACAGACCTTATGATTCAGCATGCACGCTCTAAACATTCGGTCATCCAACCCTCCAGGCTTCTCTTATATGTAAGTACAACGTACCTGTGAAAATTGTACACATAATCTAACTGAACCTTCATCGAGTACATTTGCAAGAAATGATTCAATTTTTGCAATTCATGTACTCAGCATCTTGGTAGCACACCTTCCATTGTTAGAACCAGTGCCAATTGAGTCCCACGAGTCTTTTTAATTTTACCCAGATTTCTATGTGGAATAGTGAAAAGTGTTGCTTGGATTGAAATCATTCAGAATAATAATGCTGTGCCTTTAGGATGGCTTTACTGATACCCCATCTCCTGCAGCTTGTGAAAATGGATTTGGTGCACAACGTCTAATCGAACTTCAACTCTAACTTGTAAGTACCAGTGAAAAATGTACACAATATCAAGCAGAAGTCATATTTCGTTAGCAATCTTTGAAAAGGTCCCTTTGTTTTTTGACAGCAGTAGAAGGTTTTAAGATCAGTGTAACATGTTGTTGATTAAGTATTCATTCTTAGTTCTCAATCCGTGCTTGATGATTGACAAAATTAGGACTAATAGTAAGTGCAGGAGGACCGCACTACCTGCAAAACAAAAAATCTACAAGATAAACCTGCGGACAAGACAGAAAATAGACATTGCAGTATTTGCACCAAATATACAAATATCAAATCAAGTGAATGTACAATTATATGGAGGGTTAATGTAAGAAAATCCCAAATAAATATGTCCTTTTTGAGCCTCTGCCCTTTCGAGTGGTGAATTTGCGGTAGATAATTGAGAAATAATTAGGGGTTAATATCCGACTATTGAAGTGTATTTATATCATATTAACCCAAAGGTTAAATCCAGGAACAATAAGTGATAAAACAAGATTAGTATTAATCCTGTCTGAGACAACGCCACCACTAAATCAACTCTGTGTATTATTACTGTTGGTAATGTCAAAATACCATACACTGAGAGAGAGAGGGAGAGAGAGAGAGAGAGGTTTAAGGGTCACTGGACACAAAGCAGGTCATTTCAGGACTATTATATAGTTCAATTTTATTTCATTGATTCCCTTGCAGGTAGTTATTATGAAAAAAAAAAACACACTGTAAAAAAAAAACCTCTGTCCATCAAGAGAGAGAGAGAGAGAGAGAAATAGAGAGAGAGGGAGAGAGGTTCAAGGGTCACTGGACACAAACCAGGTCATTTCAGGACTATTATATAGTTCAATTTTATTTCATTGATTCCCTTGCAGGTAGTTATTATGAAAAAAAAAAACCACACACTGTAAAAAAAAAAACTGTCCATCAAGAGTGAGAGAGAGGGGAGGGGGAGGGGGGGAAGGGTTTTACCGGCCACTCACACAAACTAGGGAGTATTGTATGGTTCAATTATATTTCATTGGTTCTCTTGTGCGTAGGGATCTTTAGCAGTGAGGGGTAACCGAATGATTACATGTGCGCAGTGAATCATAAAGTCTGTCATTGAGTCAAGTGGGGCGATTTCGATTCCCTGCTAAAGACACCTACTCACAAGCAAATTATTGAAGTAAAATTGAGCCATATGTTAGTCCCGGAATGACCTAGTTTGTGTCGAGTGGAAGTTAAACCCTATTTCTCTCTCTTTCATTGGATTGGGTACCAAAGTTATTCATACTTTGTCTTATTCTGTCCTTAATGAAAAAGGAAAACGGTGGACGGGACTTAGTTATGAAACCATTGGCTCCTTAACCTTTTCATTGTAACAAGTACACTGAAGCTAATTCTGTTTACATCTAGAAACTACAAAGTGTGGGAGGTTGATCAGATTCTTAATGAAAGGTCATCCATACTGGGATGTGTAGGCCTACTTTGCGCTTTTTTCTAGCCATTTTTTGTCGTCTGTTGACATTTATTGATAAATCCGGGATCAATATTGGATTTATTGGTCAGCTGACTTCCAGCTAACATTATTGACAACTTATTCTCAATGAGAAAATGGAAGGATGGGAAAGTGACAGCTCAGGTGTTAATTTAGAGTGGTTCATGGATTATTGTGATCTGAAGCATTGTACATGTATTTAAGAGAGAGAGGGAGAGAGATGGTGTTTAACATCCACTCAGCACAAACTAGGTCATTTCAGAACTAACACAAGGTTCAATTTTATTTAAATAATTGGCTTGTGTGTAGGGGTCTTTAGCAGTGGGAGAAAACCGGAGGACCCCGAGAAAACCCACGAGGTTGGACCCTACTCCTTGTCACGTACATTGGCGTGCACGTAAAAGATCCCTTGGGAGTTGGAATAGTGACACCTTCTAGCAGAAATTTCCCTCATAGGACACTGTATGGTGTATACCCGTCTTCATTAACCCAGTCGAAGCAGAAAAGAGGGATAAGGCAACTTGAAAGAAGGGATAGGGTGACTCCCTTTGCACATTCTTGCAAATTATTAGACTCGCAGTGGATGTTAAATTATCATGCCGTTAAATTATCATGAGTAGTGAGGAGTTTTATTTAGACATGGTAGCTACTGTGATGCCACCGGGGTACAGTGTTTGTGGAACTTTATTTCATAATTGCTATAAAAGTAATTTAAAATGTTTTAATTTTTTATTTGCAGGTGATTTTAAACAAGGATTTTATATGGTGTTTTAAGGTGTTTAACGACAAAAGCACTGCAAAATGAAATGGTTTTTGTTCCATGATAAGACATTAATTTTACATCCATGTAGGTGTTGTGTAGTGTAAACGTCACATCTGAGTGGATCAACTCCACAAGTTCCAGTAAGTCACTTTTAATAAATTGTTTAAACATACATTATGCAAGAGCTAAATCTGCCTATTGCAGGTCTTTCTTTAGGCCTGACATGTTATCTAAATTATTATTAGACATTAATTAACTTATCCAGACCATAATGAACTCTTGATGGCATTGCTAGCCTGCGATGTTTATTGGATTAGGTTCTGATTTGCTGTTCGACTTCCATTCATAATTAAATCAAAAAATGGATAATCAAGACTATGTTTTTTATCCTACCGACTTTAGTAATGATGATCGAGGCTAGCCCCAATATTCAATCCCCAAAATCTCGGTTCAGAGTGGATCAATTTGACTGAAATTTTCAACAAATTCCCTTTATAGTGACAATTGCCAGCTCTTTATCTAATCTCGCATAAACATCTTTAATAGAAGACTTGATCTCGCTTTAACTCCATACATCTTATCAAGGCCTTCACGTAATACCCTGCATATTTTGGCACTAATTTCTATTGGGTATTCACCCAGCTTGTGAGCCTATCAGAATCCTCGATCATCGTGAATACCAGGTCTCGCGCTTTCAAGCTAAAATATCTACCTGTGATAATCGAGTTGCAAAGTTCAAAGTTTGTTCGATGTCAAGGTTTCTGCGGAGGTCGCTATAGTTGATTTGTCATTTTGTCACAACTTCTGATTGGACGCTACTTTTCATGTATAGAGAGAAAATGTAGCTATAAGTTTGGGAATTGCATTTCAATAGAATGAATATTTATTTTATTATCTGTTAATTTACACAGATAGATGAACATAGAATTCAAGTTCTTGTTATTGAAGCTTTTTATATACATATTTGCATGGGTGTCCTGGTTGAACATTTCCCTGGAGCGCTTGCCTCAACAGTGAGCAGATCCCCCACTTGTATGTGACTAGGAGCAGGGTCGCCTGTCCAACCTCGTGAGTTTTCCTTGATATCCTTCCACTGCTAAAGACCCCCACGCGCAAATGCATTATTGAAATAAAATTGAACCATATGTTAGTTCCAAATAGACCTGATTTGTGTGTGTGGGTGTTACCCCCTCTCTCTCTCTCTCTCTCTCTCTCTCTTTCTCTCTCTCTCTCTCTCACACATACAACCAGGGAATCAAAACCACAACACTTGACTCAAAGATAGACCTAATGAAGCACTACGCACATGCTAAACATTCGGTTTCCTCCCACTGGTAAAGACCCCTACGCGCAAGAGAATCAATGAAATAAAGTTGAACCATATAATAGTCCTGAAATGACCTAGTTTGTGTCCAGTGGTGGGTAAACCCCCTCTCTCTTTCTCTCTCTCTCTCTCTCTCTCTCTCTTTCTCTCTCTCTCTCTCTTTTACTACTTTTACCACTAAGCAGCACCAGTTAGCACTATTCTCTCGTTTCTTATTTCAGGTTATAATCATAGGTATACAATATTTTGATTACATGTATGTGTTATAATTGATGCTTATGCATGTAGTAATTAAGTATCTATGAAATATAAGATGTTGTTGGTAAATTAGGTTTGTCTGGGTTTATTTTTTATACCATTACTAGCATGTCAGAGGGAAAAATTCCTCCATTTTTTATTCTTGTAGTAATCCAACTATTATGTTTATTAATGATCAAGTGCTAAAACCATTCTTGCTGGAAGCTTTTTTTAAATATACAGCAGTTTAAATTACCATGTCTACAAGTCGACAGACAAGATAATGCTGTAACAAAACACTCAAGGTGTTCGAGGTTGATGGGGGGAAGAGATTTGCCATACTGCCAAAAATAACTTCTTGTACAAAAATTACCTTCATCAAATAAATTATGGGGCCTCTTACATATGTAATGTAATGTATAAAAAGTAACATATGTGTTGTCACAGAGTGGTTCAGATTAAGAGAAATATGTACCGATTCTTAAAGAGAAACACAAGGAATATGTCCGAGGAATATGTACTCATTCTTAAAGGGAAACACAAGGAATACATACCGATTCTTAAAAGGGAAACACAAGGAATATGTACCGATTCTTAAAGGGAAACACAAGGAATATGTACCAATTCTTAAAGGGAAACACAAGGAATATGTACCCATTCTTAAAGGGAAACCACAAGGAATACCGGTATGTACCCATTCTTAAAGGGAAACCACAAGGAATATGTACCCATTCTTAAAGGGAAACCACAAGGAATATGTACCCATTCTTAAAGGGAAACACAAGGAATATGTACCAATTCTTAAAGGGAAACACAAGGAATATGTACCCATTCTTAAAGGGAAAACACAAGGAATATGTACCCATTCTTAAAGGGAAAGCATAAGGAATATGTACCCATTCTTAAAGGGAAAACACAAGGAATATGTACCCATTCTTAAAGGGAAACAAGGAATATGTACTCATCCGTAAAGGGAAAGCACAAGGAATATGTACCAATTTTTAACAGGGAAGCACAAAAGGAATATGTATCCATTACAAAAGGAATATGTACAGGTACTGATTCTTAAAGAAAAGCACAAGGAATATGTATTAGTTCTTAAAGGGAAAGCGCAATGAATACATGTATGTACCCATTTTTAAAGGGAAAGCACAAGGAATATGTACCAATTCTTAAGTTGATTAGCAGAAAGTTATTAAATTTAAGAGAATCTGCGAATCAAGTTTCTTATTCCAAATTAAGTGTGAAAAAATCTTTAACAAATGTGATTTACCATGTCACTGTGTACGGACATTTTAATCCCCTTAATGTCGGTCAACGAGATGAGTCAAAGATTAGTCAATAAACTAATTGTAAGCTAACCTTTTAACAGTCATTCAGTTCATGATCTAACTAAGTAATTAATTAGTATAAACGTTAAATTTGATAATCCCATAAATATACAAGCTCGATAATTATTCACAAAACAATAATTTTTATCTGTAACCATTTCCCTTCGTAAGAACCGACCACATGTTCCCATCTGGCCTCCCATTTGCCATCACACAATATTTTAATCATTTTCAATTCACTGGACAACAAAATATTCCGTTGGCTATAATCATATAAAAAATGTATCCATCCGAAGCGTTTAACAAACTGCTTTGCGACTAAAATGGCTCTTGGTTCATTTTGGTAGGAAAACAGGTCACATGGGCAAATAACAACAACATGGCGACAGTGCATGCATTGCATACAGGTGTCGATGCCATGTAAAATTTTAAAATACCGTTTTATAATGAAGACAAATAATGTTTCGACATCACAAACTTTTATTATCACTGATTTTGAAGGAATATTACTGGCGTTAATTTGAAGCATTTAGCCTACAGATCGGTACGCTTATTCATTCTATCGTATTATGAAAACACCTAATTTTGTAGGAATATTACTGGGGTGGATTTGAAGAAGATAGCCTATGGGTTGGGACGCTTTCATTCTATCGTATTAAGAAAACACCTAATTTTGTAGGAATATTACAGATGTAAATTTGAATACTGTATGGGAATTGAATATAAAAATTTGTGAGGTGCACCTATTTTTTGTTATTCAGAAGACGATATGCTACATAACATAAAACTATTTGTAGATGAAGTCTATTAGTGGAATGAAAGCCCACCCATACACACATAAACATTAGTTATATAATGGCCATTATAGATCATCGTTCAATACAATACCGGTACCGTGAAATATTTACTTATTTGCTATTCATTCAAGAGGAACTGCTAATCTATTTTCTGATTGATTAGCATTTTTTTTTTCAAACATCCAATAATTAATTGCTAATCATTTTTTTTTCGTATCATATACCCTATCTGTACCTGAATAATTGACATTTAGTGTTCAAACTTGCAGCATATGGCGAAGTATCAGGTTCAAAATACGATCTTGAGTAAAAAGTTGAAAAGTAAAAGTAAAAGAGAAAATTCTAATCTAAGGGTATTTTTGTGGTGGAAGTAGAAACCTATTACTTTATACATTTAATCTGCAAAAACTCAAGGCTAGAGTTCAAAAAGCATTCCCAGACTTAAGTTAAGAATTTACCCAACTTTGAATCACTGGTTACGAGAAATATCTTTGATCCAGAAACACAAAACTTTGCACATAGTTTCTTTTTGGTGTAACTGTTACATTAAAACAACAAAAGTTTTATAACAAGCTATATTTTAGTTAAAATAGGGCGAACAATTTTTTGAGTAAATTCTTAACTTAAAGGAGCTAAATCGCTCATATTTGGGATTTAGTAATTGACACAAATGGGTGGCAACACATATAATAATGCAGTGTGAATGTATAGAAACTGATTTACATTCAACCGTTTCTGTTTTTACTGTAATTTCTAATCAGTTATGTTCGGTGAAATACGCCAGAAGTCTCAATTGAAGACAATCTTTAGCGTCTGGTTATTCCACCGATGATATTTATTGCGCATGCTCCACAGATAAGAATATAGTGTCACCATTTGACATGACTTGTGGAATATGTCTAGCCGCATTCTTTGAGTCCCTTGTTCAAAATGGCGCTGAAACGCATTATGGTACACGATTCGTGTACCAATGGTAAAATGTTTATTTTGTCTTGAATATTGGATATCAGAAGCCCATCTTTTCCCTGTAAGATCACAAGACCAATGTTGATTTGAATTGACAAATTATTCGTGTTTTCAATGTCTAAGATTTTTGATGATATTGAGTTAGAGACTTAGCTACATGTACTTTAAGTCTGAGAATGATTTGTGAACTCGAAGCCAAGCTTTTCAGCTTTTGATTAGAATTCTTATTTGATCGGCAAAATTTCTACTTTCTACTATTAACATTTGACTTTCAGCTTTCTGGTTCTTTTGTCAACTTTTGACTTTCCAGTACTTCTGTCATCTTTTGACTTTGTAGTCCTTCTGTCAACTTTTGACTTTGTAGTCCTTCTGTCAACTTTTAACTTGGTAGTCCTTCTGTCAACTATTGGCTTTCTAGTACTTCTGTCAACTTTTGACTTTGTAGTTCTTCTGTCAACTTTTGACTTTGTAGTTCTTCTGTCAAC